TGTATTAGAGTGTGTTTCTAGAAATATTTTCTTACATTGTTAGTTTTGCCCTGTCTCTTTTTGGTTGTATTGTTTTAAATACTAACATTTGTTCCTTTTAATAGTATTTAGTCATGTTTATTCATTCACATGGATTAACATCTTTTTTTACCCAGGACTTGCCAGAAAACGAGCTGCTCCATCCTCCTCTTAATATTCGGGTTGTGGACTGCAGAGCATTTGGACGCTACATCCTAGTGGGGTCCCATGCTGTTTCCACCCTGAGACGCTTTATCTACAGTCCTCCAGATAAAAGCTGCAGCAATTGGGCCTCTGCAGGTACTCAGAGGCTGACGGATTAGTAGTTGTGAAGAGTCAAAACATGCAGTAATCACTTATTTGATTGATTGAAAGAATACATTTTATTTTGTAATGACATTTTCTGCTTACACTCTTTCCTTAACATTCCTCATGCGGATATTCTGCTTTTCTTTTCTTATCTTGCTCCTCTTGCTCCCTCCTGTGTTGTCCTTTCCTACTGCCCACTGCTGCTGCTGTCTTTCATCATCGGCTGCCTTCCAGCTAAGCTAATGAATGGCTACATGGTTCTAACCAATGGCTGCTCCCACGCTCGCTCCTCACCCAGCCTTTCTTCCCGCACCCTGTCTCGCCCCGCAGGTGACATCGCCCTCAACCTCGAAGCAGAGCCTCCTATCCGAAAGATGGACACAGTTGTCAAGTTGGATGCTGTAAGCATTTCATTCCTTTTTCTGACAAGTTTCTGTATTGATATTTATGTTGTGTTTATATGCTTCTCTAGATCCCAGAAGTATTTCCCTCGCATTTTGTCCTCTGCTTTGTACCTGTTGTTGCATTTGTGCTGCTCATTCCTTCACCACCCATTGTGTATTAACCCTTGTGCTGTTTTATGTAATGCCCAGATGTCTGATGCTGTTGTAAAAGTTGACATGGTGAGTAACTCCATTTAGCGGCTAATGAGCTCAATGTCATAAACCAGTACAGAACATTGACTAAAATCCACCTAAAGTGTAAAAAGAGTTTATTTTCTGTTACTTTTTTAAGAGTGAAGAAGAGAGCGATAAAGAAAAAAGGAAGAAGAAAAAGAAGAAGAAGGGAGGATTGGAGGAGGAGGAAGAGACAGATGAAAGAGTGCTGGACTGGTGGTCCAAATATTTTGCTTCCATTGAGACGCTGAAGGAGGTTGTATATTCCGCTCTTTTCCACTGTTCACTCTTTTTTTTAGGCTTAAGTTAATCTTGTTCTGTGTTTTCTCTATTAGAACCTAAGATCCCAGGAAGCAGCTCAGACAGACGCAGAGGACAGAGAAGACCTTGAGATAGCAGCTGAGGGAGCAGGTATATAACTTTTACATTTTCTGTTTTTTATTTTATTTATAACAGTTAAATTGATTTTATTTATCTATCACTGATTGCTGATGTTTTGGAAAACTATTCATACCCCCTCATATCACAGATTTTGCCACATTACAGATGTAAACCTCTGCATATTTTACTTTAACTGGGACATTTCAAATCTTCCAATGGATTCCTACTTATATTTAGATATAAAAATTGACTGTATCCAATAACATATGGCTGAAAATTTATTTTTTTATGTTGTAGAAATAAGGTTAAGGGGAAAAAGCTGTAACCCTAACTTTATTTAAACCTAACTTTACAATAAAAGTCAGCCCTACTAACAGCTCTTTTTTTTTACCCTAACAGGTAGAGAGGTGAAATCCTTTTCTTTACTTATATCCTCCAGCTCTGGATCAGAGTTCAGTAAAATTGCTGAATCCTATTTAACACACTGATCAGGCGTCTCTTGCACTGTATATATAGATATTAATTTATTTCCCAGCCCCCATTTTAACATTTTAATCTTTATTTCTCTAGAGAGCTCCATTGTTATGAAGGTTATATCTTTATATCCTCCTCTTATATGTATAGTCCCACTGGATGGTGAACCTTGACCCCAGTGTAACATTTTTTGCAACCTCTAACAGCTTTTTCTCCATGATTGCCCTTTAGTTTACTCCGTCCATGTCCACATAAATGCTGACCAGCCTCCCTGGATAAAATAGCATCACTTTGCATGTTGCTACCATTATGTTTCACTATGGAGATGGTGTGATCATGATGTTGTGCACTGTCCGTGTCACATAGCATGAATCGTGTCTGCCAAAAAACATCTCAACAACGTTTCATAAGTGCTCGATTTATGGGGCATAATTGTGTTTACATTTTCCTACCCCAGCTGTAGATCTCTGTACCTCCTCTGGCATAACCATGAGCCTGTTTTCTGTTTCTCTGACCAATGCTCTCCTTTCTCATTGTTCAAGTGCACTTTTGGTAGGTTTTATAGTTGTGCTATTGATTTATGGATTAAACGATAATTTATGAGATTCCATTGCTTTGGATATTGATTTATGGACTAATCCTACTATAAGCTGCCAAACTACCTTATACCTGACCTGCCTGTGTTCCTTGGTCTTCATGATGGTGTTTGTCCAATAATATTCACAAACAAACCTCTCAGTGACACACACTGTATTTACATTGCAACTATATTACCCAAAGAATAGGTGGACTCTAATTTTAAGGGGATTTCATATACATTTTTCTCACACTTCTTGTTTCTCTCTTTCATATAAAATCTTGATTCATTTCACTTTTTGGTTGTTTTGTTACATTACAAGAAAATATTAATGGAATAAAACTTTTACCAGGCATTGATTAGAGACAGACCAATAAATTGACCAGCTCACATTTGTTTTGTTTTTTCTTTTGTTATCGACTGATATGTGCATGTGTGCAAATTCATTAGTGCATTCAGAAGCCATGCCTTGCATTAATGAAGTGCATGGCCTTGAGTCCCTCTTGTTGTTTGTCTCTATGTTTTGTTTGCATTATATGCACCTGCCCACCGTAGCCAAGCTGGATCACATATGCCTTTATCTGATAACACCTGCTCTTTGCCTGCATTACAGACAAAAATGAGATCACAACTGACCAAAGCTGTGAACAAATATGTATAACATAGGTGATAAACACATAAACTACGTTACAAATAACTAGAGTAAAATCCGATACGAAACAGTAAAACAAAAGACCAAAACTCCATTTTTCAGCTACTGAAAAGATAATACATTTACGAATGCTGTTATTAGTTAAGAGCATTACTCCTAATGCTGTTGTTAAGTCAATAAAGAAGGATAAGATGTAAGAACAGACAATGAGATTGTACTTCTGCAATGCAACACTACAACAGCAATAACTTGTGCAAAGTATAATGTGCATTTACTATTTAATACCCTATGCAGTAACCTGTTTCTCTATGTTTTAGACCCATTTTTGACTATTTGAGCTTCCCCATTGTGAGATCAGTGAAATCAGTTAATCAATCAATCAATAGATTAAACAAGAATAAAACAAATTTAACCACAAGGCAACAGGGTATTGAATGAATCACTTCAAGGAAGGTGTTTTTCATGGGATTAGATATCAGATTGATTGTATGACTTTATTATTTTCGTAGAAGGTTGTAAGTTAGGTCAGGGACTGGTCAGTTTCCCTTGAAGACCTGCAGTGATAGAATGCAGCAAGTACAATAAAAAAAGAACTTTCATAACTTTAATCTTAATATTAAGTTTGAAAGTTTCTCTGGTTTTTCATTTAAAAATGTATTAGGGTCACTCCTGCAGGAACACTATGGAAGAACAGCCCTCTTTCTAACAATTTTTACCCGTTTTTTGTCAGAGCATGTGATCCGTATTCACCATTTTAGTAAAACCTGCTCTCAAAATAAAAATCCCAACTGGCTCTAACACTAAATGTTTTACATTCAATTGTCTTCATAACTGTCTCACAGAGGGGAAGGTGGATGGAAGTAATGAGATGATTAAACCCGATTATGACTCATAATCATTCACATGCAGATATTTATTAAGTTGTGTTTTATATCTACATATTACTTTTTGTAACATTGTTTAAAACCCTCAAATTAAACACACAAATCTTATCTACTTTTTGCCCAAAATGTACCGGTTAGATGTGTTTTATTGAACATTTTGAAACCTCAGCAGTATATGACTAACAAAATGAAATCTTTCTCATACCCTCAGGATGTCAGAGATTTCCCCCATCTGCCCTCCAACTATAATAGCCTTTTCTAATTCCCCTCTGGGCAGATATCAGACCTGATGAGCTCCATCTAAAAGGCTCCAGGATGAAAGAAAGGTTCAAGGACAAGAAGATCTCCAAGGACAAAAAGAAAAGTCATGCTGCGGACGCCTCTGAGAAACGGCCTCCTAAAACAAGAGTGGAAGAAATGATGGTGAGTTTGACAGGCAGCTAACCAGCAAACGGCTATATATTCATGTACGTTTGAATCTTTATGGGCTCTCCTATGCAGGTGTACAACAAAGAGCTGGAGAGTGAGTATGCAAACTTTGAGGACTGGCTTCACACTTTCAACTTATACAGAGGAAAAGCCGGAGATGATGACGAACACGCCCTGGATGATGACAGGATTGTGGGCAGATTCAAGGTAGGAACACAACTGCGGCATAGCCCACTCAGGTACTATTGCTGTTATGACCAAACTAAAGGTTTGACATTAAATAGGCAGTAATCTAACCAGTCAACAGAGGAGATTAAGCAAAATTCTTGAAGGATTGTAGACTGCCTTTAAGCAGAGCAAGATATAGAGAAAATGTTTAATTCACCGCCTCTTTCAGTGAAAATGTCTTTGGCTCAGAAAATATTCCTTACATCCATTTTTTTTCTCCATCTTTCTGCAATCCAGGGCTCCTTATGTATGTACAAAGTACCCCTCTCTCAGGAGATCACAAGAGAAGCAGGGTATGATCCCAATATGGGGATGTTCCAGAGCATTCCTCATAATGATCCCATCCGCGTTCTTGTTCGTATCTATGTGGTCAGGGTAGGTGAAATTCTTAATGTTTGAAATAATGTAATAGTTCTATCTAATCTATCATCTATAGTTTATCTAAATATTCTTCTTACCTTCTTGTTAGGCAACAGACCTACATCCTGCTGATATCAATGGAAAGGCCGATCCATACATTGTCATTAAGCTGGGCAAGTCAGAAATCAAAGACAAAGAGAACTACATCTCTAAGCAGCTAAACCCTGTGTTTGGGAAGTGAGTTGGCAAAAAGTTGATGATAGCTGATCATAGTTACTTAATTTAGAAGTTTGAAGTGAAATATGGTGAAATTTGAAATTAGATCCCTTATTTTAATGCAGTAGTTTGTTGAACATATCTAAATCTGACACATGTTGAAATATCTGTTTCTCCATGTTCAGATCCTTTGACATTGAGGCCACCTTCCCTATGGAGTCAATGTTAACGGTCTCTGTTTATGACTGGGATTTGGTTGGCACAGACGACCTCATTGGGGAGACAAAGATCGACCTTGAGAATCGGTTCTACAGCAAGTACAGAGCAACCTGTGGCATTGCGTCAAGCTACTCTGTGTGAGTATTGTGAAAGTGTGCGGTCCAGTCACTATGCCTCCGACTGATGATCCGCCTTGTCTACATGACCAAGGGGATATGCCTTTGGCTGACTAGCCAGCACGCATGACTTTCAGCCAGGAGTTTGGGGATCAAAAACCCTCTTACCACAGTAGCTTTGTTTCTGAGTTTGCCAGCTTTTAATGTTATTACACTGTCACAAGTACAGAGCAACAAAATTAACTCTCTGCATTTAACCCATCCCCTGGGGGAGCAGAGGGGGAGCAGTGGGCTACCATTGTGCGGCGCCCAGGAAACAGTGTTGGAGTTAAAGGGCCCTTGCTCAGGGACCCAGAGTGGCAGTCAACTCAGAACCTCTGGATTTCAAGCACAATCCCCTACCCACTAGGCCACCACTCCTCAACTAAGCCGTCACTCCCCATCACGTTGTTATAGATTTCTTTTTCCATTTAGTTATTGTTTAGCCGTTGATCTTTGAGATTTAAAAATCAGTTTCCGGGTCAAATGTGATTTCCAATTTTGTATTCTCTGCAAAAATAAGATATATGTTATGTCTAGTATTTATTGGCATAGTAAATGTTGGGCTGTCTGGATGGCTGTGCTGGAAATGCGGTCTCAGAGGGTCAGAACAACCAAAAAACAAAATGTGCGAGCAAGAAATTTAAAAAAGAGAATAATTTATGCTAAGCTCAAATTCAAAAGCACAGCTTATGGTTAGTGCTGCAGCACAGGTAACAGTAACAGGAGGTTAGAAATGTTGCTCCACAATTCCGGAATACTGATTTCAATTTGCATCTTTCTTTGCATCTCCTTTACATTTAAAGATGTACAAATTACAGCCTAAATATATCTAAGATATCTGTTGATTTTAGGCATGGATACAACATCTGGCGGGACCCTATGAAACCCAGCCAGATCCTAGCAAGGCTTTGCAAGGAAGGGAAGGTTGATGGACCTCATTATGGACCAGGAGGCAAAGTCAAAGTGGCAAATCGAATTTTTACTGGACCAACAGAAATAGAGGATGAAAATGGTAGTCTCCACTTTTTTCTAAAACTGTAACCAATTAAAGTGCTTCTATGATTTTTTTTACACAAAATATTATCTGATGAAATGTTTGAAAATTGTGTTAAATTAGCCTTTTCCCATGTCAGTTTCTGTTTTAAATTTGGAATGATCCCTCAGGTCTGAAGAAGCAGACAGAGGAGCATTTAGCCCTGATCGTGTTGAATCACTGGGAGGAAATTCCTCGTGTTGGCTGCAAGCTCGTTCCTGAACATGTGGAGACCAGGCCCCTTCTTAACCCAGACAAGCCAGGGATCGAACAGGTAGAACTTTAGTCGATTGGTCAAGAGCAGTGAATGAGAATTTTGATCATAACTGATCCTCTGGATTTATAAAAGGGTCGCATTGAGATGTGGGTGGACATGTTTCCAATGGATAAGGCTGCTCCCGGACCTGCAATTGACATATCACCACGGAAACCAAAGAGGTAGGCAAAGATAAGGACAAAAAACAACTTTTACCTTGAGTTTTTAAATTTCTACTTATGCATTAATAAGCATTAAGTCAAATGGAGATTTATTCAGGTATTTAACAGCCTGATATTCCAGCTTAGATTATGGTGAGTCCATTTTTTACTAGTTTTTATGTAGCGTTTAATGTAGTTTAAATGTTAATCTTAAAAGTGCAACTACATATGTATGTGTTCCTCCTCTTACTAGATATGAGCTCAGGGTGATAATTTGGAATACTGATGAAGTAATACTGGAAGACGATGATTACTTCACTGGGGAAAAGTCCAGTGACATATTTGTCCGGGGGTAGGTATGGCGGGACAAGGCAGCCGAGCCTCGTCCCATGGGTGTGAGCTGTATGTGTTTTTTACTGTTAACCATTTTTTGTTTTTCTTTTCTTTTTATTTCTTTTGTGTGTGCGTGTTTGTGTCACCTCTCTGTGTTTGTGGTGTGTCTCCTGTCTGTCGTCCTTTCTCTCCTCTCCGGTTAAAACTCTATCTAGTTTTGAGCTTCGTGTTATTATTTGGAACACTGATGACGTAATTCTAGAGGACGATGCTTTCTTGACAGGAGAGAAGATGTCTGACATCTATGTCAGGGGGTAAACACACCTTTCCATCGCATGGCTCGTGAAAATTCCTTGCGTCCCTTTTCTGAAATCCCTTACTAAATTTTTATGTGTTTCTATCTGTCGTAAAGTTACAAGGAGCACGCAAATTCCTTGTTGCAACCACTGCAGAAAAAAACTGCAGTGGTTGCAACAATGCAGTGAAAACCAATCCATACTGAAAACCTACTGCAGTAAGGACCAAACCAAAATAGATGTTGAAGTTTTACATAAAGAATACAAAATTTCATCAGACCAAATATAAAGTTACACACACAGATTGAATGAAAACATTCAAGACCATTATTGGTCTAATTTTTTATTTTATTTTAAGGTGGTAATGGTTGAAAGGAGGAAGAAGCCATTGCCTGTCTCCCTTGACTACAGGTTTCTGTGGTCTGTCCAACACAGACTTCAACCTTCTAGATGTCATTATACAATGGAAACGTGGTTGTTGCTGCTCAAATTGAGACTAAAGACTTACTGGAAAGAACTAAAATAACAAAAGTAAAGACAGTTGAAGCTCCATTTGTTTTTGAAGGCTATTTCTTATGTGTATTGTTCAAATTATATATA